CGATTTTGTGGTACATTAAAGTGGTCATCTTTATTTGTTACCACATTGGCAAGTACACTTTGCAGCCATCTTTACTGGTGGATCTGTTAACTAAGTCCAAATTTGTATCTATTTTCTATATTGCATCCAAGACAATTTTGCCTAAAGATGTAAGTGTCACGATTGTAAACCCTTTCCCTTAAGGGCGTTCCGGCTCTTTCACATGTTACCCGATCTCCCGCACCTGTCTCTCGTTCCAGTCTCCCCTTTAAAAGCCAGAAGCTCCCACTATTCCAGGCTCAGCTTTGGAATATGGACACCACAAGGCTTGCCTAATTTCCAGGTTGTCCCAAGGCAAGCCTTTTCCCCGGCGTCCTGACCATCTGGGTCCGTGGCTTGGAGCGCCTGTCCCCGTTACCCCTTTTTATTCCCCTGACCCTTCGTCGGATCCCACTCTGGCTTTTAACTTTGTTTGCCTTTGTCATGGATAGACCACACAGCTCAGGACATTTGCCTCCCTATGGATTTCTCTATGATCACCCTTCGGACTTCGGACCGAGCACCTTTGTCACGCCCCTCTGTTCATCTACCAGCCCAGTTTCTCGTCTCCTCCCCATGTCCGTTCACTCCCTTACAGATTGTGCTGTCTGCATAGAGTCCTGAAAGACACTTTGTGACTGTAAGGTCTTTTTATGGACTTTCCTTAAGTTTTAACATTTGTCTTGGCTGTTTTCTGGTTAGTGTGCTCATTTATGACACGAAGTATAAACCTTCTTCAATCTGCACAGAAGTTAATCTTACTGGCCAAAACTTGCAATGTTTGTGACCCCTCTTCCACTTTCCAGTAATCCTGCAGAAACCCAAGATAATATACTGTAGAAACACAGGAACTCTAGAAACCCAAGACTCTCTATTGATTGTTTTTATTCTTTCTGATCTTGGAGTCCCTCTGACATGCCCTTTCTCATGCTGGAGTTCTTCCTGTGAAATATTAATGTGATGAGAGTGAATTTATCAACAAGGAGACAAGCGTTGCTCATCAATTCCAAAGACACTGTTAGGTTTAGCAGGCAGGCAAAAAATGTCTGCTCTCTTTTGTTTGCTGAGGCTCAAATCACTTTCTCAAGAAGGTTTTATTATATCCTACAGCCCATGTTTGCTTTAACTTACAGTGAGTGATTTGCCTGGTACCTGTGTAAATATGTACGGTATATGCTTTGTATCTTTTGTGTCACCAATCATATGATTATCAACAAGCGATGCTCTTTTGTGTTCCTTTTGTCTAGCTTATACTGTACCAATCACCTTGTGTTTACCACATTTAATGGAGGAAATGTAACAGTTCCTCTTCACCTTCAGTTTTCTGTTTGTTTATTTAATTTGTTTTATGAACCTGGTAGTGTCCTCTTTGTTGTGCTGCTTTCACACAATTTGACGATAACTTCATTGCTGACTATCAGGACAGCAGGTTGTAATTGCAAATAGGGTTAATGGTTCAGTGCGGTAATGCATGGATAGTTTCATACTGACAAAATCATGTGTATCTGTTTTTGTACCTTATCTGTTCTCATACTATAAGTCATAACTTGTGGTTTACTGGGAAAATATTGAAAATTTTATAAAACAACAATATATTTGTATAATATTGTTCTGTTCATTTGTTACCTGGATTAATAATACCTGGATTTGTTTTGTGGATTAATAAGAATATGTGGAGTACTAGTCGCAGCTGTGACTATGACTTTACTACCCATATGACGTTCAGACTTGGCTTCCTTTTCATCAGCTCGTTCGGAGATGAGTGATGTAATGGAAACACAGCAGGTCGCTAATTCATCTTTCTCTAATGAGGAGAAAAGTCTGAATCAGAGTTCCTAAACACTAAAAAGGCCACAATAACCAATTAAATTTACTGTTTGAAATCAGATTCTATATTAATCCCATTAGTTTGGAGACTAAGTAACCTTAAGTGTTTAAGACGTTGTATGCAGTTAAGAAATGCTGGTAGACAAGCATCAGACAGCCTAGTTTTATGCCTTGGTGGGCACTTCTTTAAAGACTCTAAATAGATTAAGCAAAACATCAAGCAAATGGAAATAAAGTGGGTTTTCCTAAGGCACAGCAGCCAATTGTGCCTGAAAACCTGTTTTTATAAATAGCCTACAGACAGCCACCTGAGCCTTACTGTCACACTTTGATGATGGGTAATCCACTTGTTTAAGAACCAGTTCTCAATCTTCACCATATGTGCTGTAAATGCTTTCTGTGAAGAGGGATATAATGCATTGTGAGAGCAGCATTGCTTTTTATGTTAATGTGAATTTGAAGCTACCTGGGGAGTCTGTAACAGATTATGTTTAATTGTGTTATAAGTGGTGAAAAAGACAGAGAAAAGTGTCCTAGAGATTGCTTGTGTCCTTGCCTGGATAGTTGTCTATATACTTCCTCAGATGCTATGCAGGCAGAACGAAGATGTGCTTTATCTTGCTTTTGTTGAGAGGACTGGTGAATGCCACCTTGCTGCCAACACTTATACTAGTTTACAGCTTTTCTGTAAATAAAGATTTGAAAAGTTATACATTTCGATAAATAAACCTGCGCAAGTAAATAACAGGAGCAATGCATTTTTGTATGACAGAAACCTATGTGATAATTTGTTAAATACACAATTTCATTGCATGTACAGTATATATAGTTATTACTAAGTGTCCTGTATATATTCACACGTGTGTATGTTAAACATGCACCTAAAGAAAACCTAACCATTCATTAAACAGCTCAACCTTTTTAAAGTCAACTGGGAATTTCATGACATGGGCATTTTTTAAATATGCCATGTTCTCAACTTCTATTTTGTAAATGTTGCAATGTTTTCCATAAAGGGAGTTCTTAAGACACATAATCTAAGCAATTATCATGTGAATCACAAACAAAAAGCATGACTTTAGCCAGATAATGCAAGAGGTTTGAAGGCTTCCAAGCAAGTCCCTATTGATTTACTCTTTACTATTGAGTGCATGTCAAGTAAACTTAAGGGAATCCATCCAGTTTCTGCTTCATCCAATTTAGGGTTAAGGGAGAGCCGTAGCCTATTTTAGCAAGCATGAGGCACAAGGCAGGATGCATACTGGATGGGACACCAGTCCATCGCAGGGCAGACACAGATACAGACACGAACATACAGTACTCACACCAGGACCACTTTTCCCAGACACCAGTCAACCATCCAGTATGTCTTTGGATTGTGAGAGGAAGCTGGAGCACCTGGAAGAAATAAATTTGAATAAAGGGAGAACATACAAACTCTACACAGACACCACCCCAGGTCCAGACTTGAACCCAGGGCCCCAGCAGTGTAAGACAGTAATGCTAACCACTCTCCACCATGCCACCCAACCCAATTTCTTTCAAAAATGTGTAGATGTCATTATGGGGCCAAAATACATTTGGAACAGAATGTCATAAATAGGATCAGTAATAGGTGAATTAAACACATAACTCAAAAGGCACACCAAAATAATCCTCAATGAGACTCTTTGACTCCTTCCAGTGTATTTCTACCTATAATCAAGCAGATCCTAAGCTACTTACTGGCTAAAAACAAAATTCCTTTGAAATTGCAACAAAACTCTTCCAATCTTTTTCAAAAAGTCAGAAACCTCACAACCTCCACAGTGACGCGTTCAGTCACTTCTTTGCCCCTAGAAGGCAGATAGACCAACCAGGAAAGCCTCAGCTACCTGTTTTTTTAACTGTCACCCAATTAATGGTCTTGCACCAGCTGGTCAGGTCAGTGAGGGCAGCAGCTCATTCCCCAAGGCATTCTGGGGAATATGGTTCAGAGAAGTATCTCCAAATTGTGGACATAACATTGCTTCAGTCTGGGAGGTACAGGTCTAAAAAAGGCTCTAAATTTTGCAAAAATCTTTTAAGTTTAAAGTCAAACAGTGTAGCAGAGTTCCAGACAATGATCATTTGAATTTCGTGAACAAAACGGTAATCAGGCTGCCAATGTGTTTTATACAGGCATACTATTTCTCATTTTGTTAAATGTACTGTCATTAGAAAGATATGTTTGACCATGTTTAAACTTCAATTACCAAACAGACCTTCAGCATGACATTGCGTAAGAAGTCTCATTTCACCAAACAGTTGTTTTGACTGGCGTGATTGTGGGAAATATTTTGGAATGCCTTTCCATGGATGTTTACAGATCAGAAGCAGATTTTGTTATTTATTAATTCTGCCACATTTTAGTTGAATTAGTTTTGCAATTCCCAAGACAAAGGCAGTTCAAGGTGTGAGAACAAAATGTTCTGTGATCATCTTGGTGTCTATGACTGTGTATTAGATTTTAATGGGATACTCACTCTAATGGCAGTTACTATGTTTGGAGTTTGCAAACCTTGCTAATATTATGATAATCCTACAAAATGCATATCAATAATAAAAATTATTGCATTGAAACACTCATTCTAGCATATATCATCAGTTAATTAACCAAAATGGAGTTAATTGACCAAACTGGTTTTAACAGGGGACAGCTGTCAGGACTGTCCATATCTCTCAAAATGGATGTGTTGCATAAAGAAAATTTTGTATCGATGTGTCAGGGTAAAATAAAAATGCTTACTTTTTTGGTGAAATCTGCTCAATTTCAAATCAGTCAGTTTGGTATATCTTAAGGAAAACATTTTGAAAATGGTTTCATATAGGTGTGATAGGCCAACATTGTCTTTGATGCAGAACCCCAGTTTCTGTCACAAATGTAATATCCTATCTGTCCAAGTTCATTGGCTTAGTGTGAAGTTGCTCATCAGCAAAGTCTTTGAACATGAGCAGTTTTAAAACAAAGGAAGGGAAAAAAGTCTTTCACTGCTTGAAAAGCATAATCTATTTGGTTAGCAACCTGTGCTGGTGGAGCTGTCAGTAAAGATAGTCGGTCAGAAACTGGAGGCATTTTGGAGTTCTTCTACTCCAGCAGTATCATGTAACCAGATAAATGTGTTTCTTTGTTGTAGGATTGCCTCATCCTTGAGAAGAACGACCTCCATCATCCAGTGTGCTCCTTCCAGGATGACTTCCAGGAATTTGAAATGATTGATGACAATGATGAGGAGGATGATGATGAAGAGGAAGAGGCTGACCCTGAGGCACTGCCCTCCCCGTCTGCCTCTCCTCCTGCCTCTCCATCAGTGGGCACCTTACAGAAGAACCGCCCAACGACACTAAACCTCACCCACACAGTGTCACAGGTAACGAGGAAAAGTCACAGTATTATACTATACAATATATTTAGCCAGTACATATCACTGTCCGTAATTTCTGACTTTCTTGTAAGAAACCCTGTGAGATATACAGCTCAGGCATAGCTGTTGTAAAAGAGATATTTAGAACTATAATGTTTAACTCATTCATGTCTTATATGCCAGGATGACAACATCTATGTAACATCATTACAGGACCTGTGAACGAACATTAGTATGAATGCAGCCTGCTCCTTGGCATCACTAATATTCTTCAATTACAACAGTCACAATTTTGTCTTCTGTAGAGTGATGGTCCTTATACAAATGCAGTAAGATGAAAAAAAATTACATCAGTAATGTTGTTTAATTAACTGTTTACTGTACTGAGCAATATTTAGTTCCAATTTTCAATAAGAAAGCAAAAACATCTCAAGAATTCAAACATTAACAAAATATAAACATTTTAAAACTGTTGATAAGAGTTTAAAATAAGGCTTCTTTATATGCCTGATTGTGAAAAAAGCAGCTTAGATGATCACTTTCACATTTTTTGGTTTATTTGTTTAAAAGGATCAATTTTATCTGTTTTTGCATTACAATATAATGTAGGACCAGAAAATAAATGCTCTAATGCAATTAAGCAATCGCTTCATGGCTAGCTAATTATACAAGGAATTAAATATATCATTACTTTTGATTTAATTGATTCTTTTGGTTTTTGTCTTTTGCTGTTTATTAATGTAACAGCGTTACAGTATAAATAATGTTTCAGAAAGCATTTTGGATCAGATTAGTGTCAGTCAGTATTGCTGCTGCTGCTTCAGATGGAATTCACTATACAGGCACAAATCTCAAACCTTCAATCCCTTCAAAATATTTCACTCCAAAATGCATAAGTTACAAAAAGAAAATCAGGAGTGGAGTGTGCTAGTAATATACAATGGTGTGACAAGGTAAACATTTTCTTTTCATAGGATTCCTTGAATAACAATGGGAGTTTTTCTCCACGCAAAGCCAGCTGGCAGGAATCTCTTCGTCACCCCTCTTCAAATGGTGAGCATAATTCCTGAAGTGACGGTAGTCACTGAGTACTTCCAGTGTTATGTAAGACAGGGATAAAAATGCAATTCAAAGATAAACACACGCCTCTTTGAGAAATCTACATATAAAGAATCTAATCTGGATCTAATCTAATCTGCAAATCCAATCTAAAAAATCTAATTATGTTTTTAAATAGTCATGTACCTAATTTAGTGGTGTCAATACACTAAACTAATTTCATTTGCAGGAGTATGTGCTTTCAACTACTGTTATTTCTCCAAGAGCAAACTATGATTTAGCAAAAGATTTTTGTCTATCACTAATAGCCTTGCACTGTGAGGTTCCTAATTAGGGCATGTTTCAAATGGTTGAAACTCTTCAGTACTGGTTGATGGAGAATAATTGGATACTGACTGGACCCTGTCATTTAAATCTATGCTTTACTGTATATCTAGTTTAGATTGGCCAGTTTGCTGTTTGCCACGAATGCTTGTGTGAGCCTTGTAGTGTGAGCTCTGGTATATAAGAGTAAAGTAGATCAGGAAATACCTGCATAATTATGGGTCAGAGAATATCATGGATATAGCACTGGGCTGAATACTTTTTATGGTGGGAGGAGAGAAGAAACAGAAGCAAGAATGAAAGTACAGTAGCTGCAATGGGAATACAATGAATAGACAGGATGTGAATATACTGAGCTGAACTACAGAACTTAAATGCAATTAGAACAATAAAGAGATTGTATCTATGGCTTCAGTAAGGATCTGTTGTTTTACTGTCTACTTGAGGTTAAACTGTTTCTCTTTTAGTTCTATTCACTAAAGATGTCTCTCATTTTGTTATAGAAGGGAAATAGGTTCCCATTTGTTTAATTTCCATTTCAAAGAGAAATTTAATCCCAGGTAGGCTTTATTTGAATAAATCAGGGATTCACACTTTTTCCTTTGGTATTGGTAGCTCAGGTACTGGTAGCATTAGATAGTCTAATGTCTATAGAAGGCAGAGCATTGATTCTCACTGATCTGTACATAATGTTCTGAATGTTCAGAACTGTGATTACGATTGATTTGACACTGATACTTAATTTCTGATTTTAATCCCCCTATTTTACATCACAAAAGACTAGACTCATTTGACACTATCACTCTCCCTCCAATCTAACCTTTATCTTAATTACTGTACATTTTCTCTGCATTCTTACACTTTTTCATATTCCCGCTCTCTCATGTTCACTTACCACTACTCTTCCTTCTTGGCTGATACAATATCTCTCAGTCAGCTACTCTTCTTTTTTTGCTGGTCCTGCTTGGCTTTTCTATATCAAACCCTGGTGTTTGACTCTTTTAAGCTTTAAGTCATCTATCTCCTTGCACCTGTTTAGACACAGAATATTTTTATAATTTCCTCTGTGCTGTCTAGACGCCTTTACTCTCCTTTCTGTAATGAGAAGATGTACTGCTACGTTGCTAGGCAATGTTTCGGTTATGCTCCACATCCCTCCTCTAGAGGGCGCTCCTACCCCTTTCTGTTATGATTAGTTTTTATTATTTCCTGGTGCGTCTTGTCTGGTTTTTGGTTAAAAGCCTAGCGTCTCTGCAGTTCTGGGTTCAGTACTGGAAGATGGACGCCAAAAGGTTTGCCTATTCACCAGGCTTGCGGGTAGCCCGAAGGCAGGCCTTATTCCCCGGCGTCTGGGTCCGGGGTTCAGAGAGCCTGGTCCCGTTAGTTCCTGTTCCTGTTCCGGTTCCGGCCCGGTTTCTGTTTTTAACTGTCCTGGATGGATCTCCCGGCCTTTGGACTACAGACTGCGCCCCTACTTCCCTTTCTGGACTTGGTTGCTTCCGCATTTCCCCCGAGCACTTGATCACTACAGTCACCGCCCCCTGTCTTGTCAACCCATCCTAACCACGTTGTACCTTCCTCAGTTGTCATTCTCCAGTAATTTCCGGATTATACCGTCTGCATAGGGTCTTTAATAATACACTCCATGGGAGTCAGAACTGGCTCCCGTGACAGTTTCAGGTTCTAACCTCCCGTTAACCCAAATCCAGCAAGCCATTCCCCTTCCTCAACATTTCTCACTGTTGGGCCTGGCATCCAGTCAACTCGCACAACCTTCCCGTCTAGGACCAGTGCTGCACCACAGTGCGGCCTCCACCGTATTTTCTACAGGCTTCCCTGTAACTCACCGAGTCCCACAGGTCCATAAACCAGATCAAGTCAGCTCTAGCCAGAACGTGTCAGTTTATTTGGACTAGAGGAAGCACACCTGTGACACTGTGGCTCAAGATTATTAAGTGTAGATTCGGGTTTCACCCATGGTAAATATATAATCTTGATAAACACTAGACATAAAAAAGACAAATTTGATGTGATTTCTAAATACTGTTGTATTATTGTGACCTGGAAGCGCCTGGCTTTAACGTCTGTTCCTGTTCCTTGTCCACCGGTTCCGACCCTGTTCGTGTTTTTAATTCCTTGTTTGGATGGATCACCTGGCTATGGACTTATTCTTCTGTTTTTGGATTCCCTCTATGGATTACTTTTGGATTGTTTGCCTCGGCCACACCTCCCCCGTGCACCAGCGCACTTTGGACACGCCCCCCTGTTTTCAACCCCGTATTCCAGGATGATGTTTTCCTAGTGTTTCCCCACTTCTTCGGATTGTGTCCGTATAGGATCCAGAAAGAACTGTTCCTTACAACATCAAATATTAGTGGGGAGAAGAACAGAGTAATGAAACCAGTTCAGAGATGGGGATTATTAGGAGGCCTTGGTTAGTAAAGGCCAATGGGAAATTTGGCCAGAATGCAGGGGTTACACCCCTTATCTTTTTGAAAAACGCCCTGGGATTTTTAATGACCCCAGAGAGTCAGGACCTCAGTTTTATGTCTTATCCGAAGGATGGTTCCTTTTAACAGTTAAGTGATCCTGTCACTATACTGAAGCATTAGGACCTTAGCAACCTTAGTTGTTCCCAGGAGGTCTCCCATCCAGGCACTGACCAGGCTCACAACTGCTGAGCTTGAGTGGGTTGCTAGCTGTGAATTGCAGGGTGATATGGCTGCTGGCCATACCTACAGTACCTTTCTGTTGACCTGCAGATTTACAAGCAAAGCTTTTTGACTGTATCAGTGCAATTTCCTGTAGTTATTTCAAACCCATTAGGAAAGTTAAAGACAGAAATATCAGTGTACAACAGAAGCTCTTCTTTTCTTTGGCTTGTGTCAAACTGTGCTACTTTGTGAATTGTTGCATGTTAACCTGAGGGAAAGCTTTGTCTGTCTCGTGGTTGTCAAAGATTGTGTTGTTCTGTTTGGATTTCCTCTTTTAATACTTAAGGATGTAAAAATATACTTTATTTACTGATAAATGCAAAAGGTAGGTGCAATAATTAAGATATTTCTGGTTCAAATTAGATTTTTTGTCATTTGCAAACAAGATTGGAATCCCAATGACTGGAATTCCCCAAGTGGTAGCCCAGAGGTGTGCTGGACTGGGTTGGCTTATAACTGGCCAGGATATCCTCTGTTTGCTGTGTGACTATAACTTGTTGTTTGTCAATTTCTGTAACTCGTGAGGTGTTTATGGATTGAAGCGAGTGGTCTAATTGTGTGTGTTTTGAAGGGTTCATGCGTGTTGCTGTCATCTGTCTTGTGCTGGAGCAAGAGTCATAACAGTAAGCCACAATGACTGACATTAAAACAAACAACATACAGTATAATCATATTGGAAGGAGATAATAGAAAAGTCAATATATTTAACGTACAAATACCCTTATTTATCATTTGAAACAGCTGTTCAACTTCTGCAGTAAAATGAGAATATAATTGGACTATTATGATTAGGCAGCTTTCTCATCAATTTGTGTTGTACAATACATAAGAGGAAGCTGGGTACTATCCAGTGCAACCATGATATTAGTGAAATCAAAGAATTATACTAAAGAACAAAGAAAAATGTTGTTGTGGTCTGCCAGGGTGTTTTTATTCCATATGCATTATAACCATTTAACAGCTAATGTTATTGAATTGCAGGGCTGTGCTGTAACACCAGATACTCTAATCACAATAGCCTCTCACATATATTATCCCAATGTAAGAGGTGTAGAATCTGATGTCTGAAAGTTAATTCTGGATAATTCAATTATATTCAGTTCATTCAAATAGTGGCAGGAAGTGTGCTTAATATCATAACAGGTAATATAAATGAATACAAATGTTTTTGTTTCTTAAAAATCTTTGAATATGTTAATTTCTTTTAGCACTGCTTATTCCATATAGTATTGCTCTATGTAACAGAAAGGGTTGTGTTCTTATTTTCAGGACGTTTATCTCCATCCCATTCTTGCCTTGAAGATGGTACACATGTGAATGGTCAGTGTGCAGCCGCACCAGGCGCTGGGTCTCAAAGCAAAGGTACAACTCCAAAACAGGCAGGGGACACTGAGCAAACACTGTCACCACTCAAGCCCCTCCTGTACGACTTTGAGGGCAACAGACGGGAAACACTGGAATACGGTAAAAAAATGTCTGACCCTGCTATGGAAGATTATAATATGAACATGATCTCTTCACCACCATCTCCACTATATTCACCATTCCATGACAGCCGGATCTCTCCTAAACAGTATCTCTCTTCAACAGGGTCTTTTGGTCAACATAAAATGACCACAAGTTCAGATGCTGGAGCGGAGCCCAGTGCTGAGGTTACCAGACCGGGCACAAGCATACCCGTGATAGATGAAGTCTCACAGAGTTCTGATACTGAAGTTGACCATGATCTGGCTTGTGACTATGCCAAAAAGTGGGGGGGGCAATCTAGAAAAAGCAATGATACTTACACTGTCACCTCAGAGTCAGTAGTAGATCCAGAAATAGAAAATGACATAACTTTAGATGGCACCAGTAAATGCCTCTCTTCTACTGCACCAGTACCTAATGATGCTGAGACACCCATATCAGATGATGAGCTTGAAAAAGACTTTGACATTGAGTTTACATGCAAAGAAAGCTATGATTTGAACTTCAAAGAAGCTGGAAGCTCATCTTATGTCGAGTTTCCGCCCATTGAGCCAACTTCTTTCTCCAGTTACCTGTCCTCTGGTAGTCGATCAGATGCTGAACTAGAAGAATCCCATAGCCATAATGGTGCGAGTGCACATGGTCATCCATCTTCTTCCTCTAATGATACCAACTCTCCATCTTCTGACCCAGGCATTGAAGCTGACCTCACCAGTAAAAGTTGTAAAAGGTATATACCATCCAGTCATAATATAGATGAACTTAGCTCTCCGGGTTCTGATTCCGACATTGAAGGAGAGTTAGAGGCCGCCTTTGCCTGTGGAGGCCCCTTGGTCAGCAACATGATCTCATCCATTTCGGAGACGGAGCTGGATCTCACTAGTGACAGCAGCAGTGGCCGGTCCTCACACCTCACCAACTCTATCGAAGAAGCAAGCTCTCCTACCTCTGACCAAGAGCTAGAGACTGAACTAGAGGCCGAAAGTGGGATCATAGGTATCAAGGCTTCCTTACTTCTTGGGCAGCCTGAGTCTGATAAAGTTATTTCGCCTACAATTGACATTAAGGCCCCAGTACAGTTTGATGATGGTCAGGCATTAGTGGGACTGCAGAATGTTGATGAACTTGCTTGTGAACACACTGCGGATCCAGATGAAACCCTTCCTCCTGCTGACCAAAGTGAAGACAGTCTCTCAAGTCAGCTAGTTCTGAAGATTGAACCTGACCACAGCTTAGAGAGTTTTAAGAGGTCCTTTTACCTGCCCATAGGACCAAAACTCATGCCTGAGATGGATGATTATGAGGGTAACAGTGAGTATGACTCAGAATCAGAGTCAGAGGCAGACTTAAGTGAAGACTCTGATTCCCCCTGGCTTCTGAGTAACCTTGTCAATAAAATGATTTCAGAGGGTTCTTATCCCATCAGCTGCCCAGAGGACTGCTTCAAAAGGTCTGGCTCGATATCTGACACCATTTCACCCACGTCAGATTTGGAGGCAGATGCTTTTAATGAGCCTTTAGACAGCCAATCCCAAAAGCTGGAATCAAATGGTGATATGCAGGTACAAAGGTCTGAAGAGAGTTATTTAAATAAAGAAATTAACAAAGAGATGGGTTCAAAGAGGGGTGCAGAGAGCACCGAGGACTCCAGATCTTGTGAACCTAGAAGTGAAGCCAAAGAAAAGAAGAAAAACATAGAATCTAAACTGGATTCAGCTCAGACTGAAGACACTACAGGCCTCTGTCTCTATATGAGTAATCCCACAAATGATACAATCTCTCCAGTCTTTGTTGACCGATATAATAGTACTGTCAAAGCAGGCCAAGTGTCCTATGTGCTGGAATTGGATAAAACCTATGTTTCTGATAATGCTTCTGTTGCAAATGTAACTAAAAACCTTAAAGAAGAAACGATTGAGCCCAATAATGATTTATCAATGGAACCAAATGAACCTGCATCTCCATGCCTTAGTGAGCAACTAGAAAGTGACAAAGATGCAGGCCGTGAGCTCAGTGATGACACGGGCACATTAGATCGCATTAAGGAGGCTAAAAGCAGCCTGACTCTAGATATTCCCACTGCTCAAACTAACAGGTGTTTCAATCTGACCTATTCCACTGACAATGATGAAGATTCTTTTCTTGAAGGCATAAAGAAATCTCCATATCGTGAAAATGTATTGGATTCTTCCTCTGCTACTGAAGATAATACAGAAGACCTCCCACCCCTAAACTCTTTGACAACCAAGCAGGTTGATGAGTCCTTAGTTTATGACTCAATTAAATACACATTGGTGGTGGATGAAAACACAACCCTGGAGCTTGTCAGCTTAAAGAGATGCACGTCGATCTTGAGCGATGACAGCGAGATCTCTACACTCTGTGACAATTGTGACCTTGAGGTTAACAATGATTTTGAAGTTGATGGGATAGGTCCAGAAATCCTAAGTTCTTCTGAAGATTCATCCCCTGAAGCTGATGTGCAGTTCTCCAAGAAGTTCTTGAACGTCTTTGTGAACAGCACTTCACGGTCATCAAGTAAGTATAAATTGACCATAGCTGTGAAAAGAAAAAAAATCATGTCATCAATGACATTGTCTCACAGGAATAATATGTATTGCTTTTTATTTATGGTGATATTTGTAACATGAATTTTATGTTATGGGTGATATAAGTGACACAGGGAAGATAAGTTAAAGTATAATTTATTATATTCAGAAATATTTTCAGAATACCACTTTCTGGATTTGAAAATTGGATGCAGTTTTGTTTCTGTTTGTTTTTCAATGTTATTGTATATATTATCTATAATAGGGTGTTTGTTGTTTCAACAATAGGGTGTTTGTTGTTTAATCTGATACAGACATCCTTTTTGGATGTAATGTCCCACTTAACATACCAAAGAGAAAAGGAGAGGATAGATCTTATTTACATGTGAGAATGATGAAACACAGGGGGAATCCAATCTCATTTTCATATGAAAGCTACAGTATTTCAAGAATACAATGTTTTTAGCGAATTCTGCAAATCCTTTTGTCTTCACCAGTTTTTAACCATGGTGATCTGTAATGTTTTATTTATGTAATGTAATGTTTTAATTATATAACATCAGGTTACAGGTTTTTGATATTGTATGAAATAAATCCTGAAACGAATTTGCTGAAATAGTATTAACTACTAATAACATGCCGCACTGCCAATCGTGTTTGCAAAACATTTTGGGTAAGAGCAGTGAAGCAAAATATAAAAAATGAACAGGCAGGAGGAATTCAAAGGGAGCCATATAACATGAGTATAACATTATGCACTGAACTAAAATAAAGATGGCATTTGACAACTATGGAGGTACTGGTGAGATTCACTCATGCAAATATTCTTTGTGCGACAACTTAATTTTTCTATTTGAAAACAATCCAGGAACCCTGTGCACGGTTCATTTGCAAGTCAGCCTTTTCTTTTCCCTGCATTTGCTTATTATTGGGTGAAACATGTCCAACATGTTAAAGGCAAGAATCAGAAGGAAACCCAAACTGATATACTGTAGGACTATTTTTCATTTGTCTAATGCTATACAATTAGTTACTCCTCCCTGTGACATGTACAGTAGCTATCAATACTAACAGAGTAGATCTTAAGCCACTGACTTGACATTACTGTACATGTCCTGCTGTCTTTAGACTTTAAAAGTTTGTCTAAGTTCATTAAAAGTTAAGTCTTCATTTCACGAGATGAAATTAAAAAATTTTCAACTAAGTATATTCACACACATCTTCATCCCTATTAAACCAGACCACTAACAATATTAAATTAAAATTAAAACTTAAAAAGTCATTTCCTGAAAATATTCTTGATAAGAAATAAAATGTCCTAATAAGATGGAACGTATTGCAAAATGTAAGGTTTTCTTTTAAATACGAATGCTGATTTAAAAACCTTTTAAATCAGCACTAATTAAATAATAGATTAACAACTCAATCACACCTTGACGTCTCTGGAAGTGGGAGCTCACTTCGCCTGATCTACTTTGTAGCAGGACTGCTGGTGCAGAATGGCTGCAGTTTGACACCCAGCTGGGCACTGCACTTGTGTGTTGGATGAAGTGGGTCCTATGTGTAAAGTGGTGTAAAGTGCTCAAGGATCCTTTGAAATTAAAACTATTGTACAGATTGACGTAATTATAACAATTTTGTATTTATGATAATTTTAAGAGGAGTGAGTGATGCAGTGCCACAGTGGTTAGCATTGCTTCCCTTACAGGGCTCTGGGGCCTGGGTTCAATTCCAGGTGTGCTATCTGTGTGGAGCTTCTATGTTTACATGGGTTTCTCCTGGGTGCTCTTGATTCCTCCAACAGTCCAAAGACATACTCGTAGGGTAATTAGCTTCCAGGAAAACTGGCCCTGGTTTGACTGTGTGCGAGTTTGTGTCTGTGTGCACCCTGTGATTGACCGACTTCCCTTCCAGGGTGTATCCTGTCTTGTACCCATTGCTTGCTGGGATAGGCTCCAGCTTTCGGGGGACCCTGTATTTGATAAAGTTATTCAAAATGGGTGGATGGGTAAAGAGAAGAATGCCATTGCACTTTGGATCCAAATATTCTATTTTAGTAGCTTCAGGCCTTCAAACTATTGCATGGTGTTTTAAGGCATTTTGAAATTCTTCTTTAATTGTCAATTTCAAAACAACAACTTATGTACACATATTATTGATTTTCTTCTTCCCAAAAGGAATGGGAAGGTTTTAGTCAGCAAACCTACCCATTACATCAGAGCATTTTATCACTTTCACTAGGTTTAACATAAATTGGTCCTAGTCTTTATTTCCTTAAAATATTAAGGAAAATTGCTTTGTTGCCTTAATGAAACTTCTATTTAATATGGATTTGACTAAACTTTCAAAGTTATGTACAATATCACCGTGTTACAGTACATCTTAGTTATGAAAAAAACAGGATTTCATAACTGTACTGATTGTTGTTTATTTCTACTGTTACTTCACCTAACATAGCTTCATTTTTGGCTTTTGAACAGGTACAGAGTCCTTTGGCCTTTTCTCATGTACAATTAACGGAGAGGAAAGAGAACAGACACACAGAGCAGTATTCAGGTGAGCATAATAGTTGTTCATTCCTTTTTTTAATTTGTTTCTGTGGTATTATTAATATTTTAAAATGAAAAAAGGGGAATTCACCTGTATTCTTTATTTTAAGACAGGTGTCAGAGACAGCGTATTCAGATTTCACATTAATTATGAACAGTACAAGAGTGTTATCTAAAGACGTACAAGAGCATACTGAATGGTATTAATAGAATGTTATGCCGTGGCTGGCTGGAGTGCACTGCCGTGGTCAGACTGATTGTGGAGATTTAAATGCAGATTGAATCTGTGGAGATTTAGATGCAGGACCCAGATTGATGCAGGTGGACTGACTGGGAAATTGGGTGCAGTGAGGCTGCCTGGAAGCCAGGAGAATAAAGGCAGACAGGGGAGCCTGGTGTGGTGTGACTGACAGGACAGGGACGCCACAAAATCCAGTGCTGACTGCGTGGAGTGTCTAGAAGTTGAAAGAAAAGTGGTGTCTTGGAGAATCACAAAGACAGGTTCCTCAAACATGCATGGAATTGCATGACCCCACGTACAGTAGCTCAATGTCAGAGCACTGAATCAGTGGGGTTTTGGTCTTTAATGAGGTGATTAATTGGATGGATGATTGGATGATTGGGTCGCTGATTGAAAGGGAGGGAAAAGCACAGACAGGCGGCTTGAACTGGTCCTTGTAGGCTGGGTTGGAATGTGAGTGAGCCACTCCCAGGCTGGGTGTGAAATAATACATTTTAAAAAAATACTTGTGCAGGAGGTGCTAAAGTATTTTAACCTTTTAGTCAGATTTATAGCAATAATGATTCCAAGAATGAAAAACCTTTGAAGTTGAACTATTGTTTATGATTATCACCGTACATTTTATGGAATTAAAGTCAAGGAATTTTAAAGGGGATCAAGGAATCAAGACGTGCATGCATGGCATAAAATAATTTGATGACAAGTTTAATAGTATAGCAGGAATAAACCCAGTGGCCGTAATTGGATTAAGCTGTTTAAAACAAAAATGAAACATCTGTAGCAATCATTCAAATTTAGAATTGTATCTTTCTAAAATTTTAAATGTCTGAGTATTTTTAGGAAAGCTTAACACTTGGTCAATAAAAAGGAATGTTTGATTCAATTAAAATAATGTACATCTTTTAGCAAATAAAAAATGTAATTAATGTACATGTTCTAGTTTCATTTACTTTATGGTTAAGAATTTGCGTTACATATGGATAAAATCTGTTCATGAAGATAATTTCCTCTAAAACACATACACCAAAAGATTAAATTTTCCAATATTCTCTTGGGAATAGCTTAAATTGCTGTTTGGTGAACCAAAGAACTGAATTTCAATTTTCTTTTTCGGGCACATTTAGCTCAATCAGTGCTAATCAGTAAAGTACAAACATTTCTGCAGCCTTTACAGTTAATGTGAAAAAAAACATTCTATAAAATAAGATTAATAAGATAAGACTCACACAGAATACTAATGGAGAAAGTTGTGAAATTAAAACTAACGAAATTGTACTTATTTTAATCAGCTCTGTGATTCTGAAGAGGGAAAAACCATATACAGCAAATTTATCATATCATCTTTGTAACTCTCAGAGCTGGTATTTAGTGTCTATCAGTTTACTTATAGAAAGGAAATTAATGTTTTTTTTTATTTAACAATTATACTAAACCATTTTATTGGGGGGGGGGGGGGGATTTACTGTATGAATGTGACCAATAAGCTTGAAAAAATCTGGACGTACAAAATATAAATCAGTACTTTTATTTTGGCAGAAGACGAGTTTCTAAACACTGCCTTGAAGTAACATCTTATACTGTATTTGACATTTAATCATTGTAGGCCTACTGTATAATGTCACTTGACTTTCACTGGGTTGAAGTCACAGGCTTCGTTGAGCAATTACAGATTTGCTACTCCTTCATTAAAATTCTGATTGAGTAGAAATGGTTTTAATAATAATCAATGATCAGAATGATTTTTGATGGCAGGAATGTTAATTTGTGGCGGTATGCCAGACTGCAAACACATTTCCGTATTCTCTTGTTTAAAACTGGGGAATGTGAGTTTTTTTTTTTGAAGCTAGTCAAATCAAATTAAGTATGCTTCATGTAGTAAGAAGCATTCTCATTGTTTTTCGGTCACATTAATAAATGTAACTGTTTGAACCCATTGTAAAAAATACAAACAAATGTAAATGAAAAATATTCCCTTTCAAAGTGGGATCACTACAAATAGGGTTAAAACATTTTTAGAAATAAATCACTTAGAAATTGCTTATTTGTTTAGATATTTTAACTAACAGAAAAGGAGACTGTGATACGTTTGATAGTCTTAAGTGAATGTATGTGATTATGTCCAACATTTATACTGTTTGAAAAACCTGAATGTCTCTGGAATATGTTTCAAAACAGCCTGAACATGTTTCAGGATTGTAGTTTTGATGGGAAAAAAGTTAAAACTATTCATTATGTTAAGTTGAATAAAAGACAAGAAACAAGAAAATTTTATCTGTTGTGTACTTCAGCTCTAACATTAGCATGACTTCCATGACTGTAAAAGTGAAAACAATTATATAAAGAACTATAAAGAAATCTAATAAAAATAGACAACCATGGAGGAAGATGCAGAGAGGAAATGCAAAATAGAAGATGTCAGCAGGTTGCACCCGAAAGCTGAGGGAGAAACTAATAAGATGATAAGTTGTGTGTACCAGATGAGCAATTAAAATTTAATCCCACATCTCATAAATCACTTTCACAGGGTAACACAGGCTCAGAGCTTTGAGCTCTGATAAGAATGTGCCAGTGAAACTGAATTTGGCTTGTAGTTTCAAGTAGCAGAGAAATGCTATGCAAGTTTCCAATAAAAATAATAAACAGGCTGTGGATAATGGCACAAGCCTGCATCTTAAGTACAGTACCTCTGTAGAAGCATGCATGTTTTATTTCTTCAGACTTTTTAAAATGTACATAATATATTATATTTATATTTAAAACAAGTTTATACTTTTGATATTAATAAAATGCCTTTGAGCACCATAAAGCAAAATCAGTCTACATTATTTTTACAGTATATAGCTGGGAGAAGTAGCTTGTCTGTTGTGCTAGTTCAGTGTCTTATTTTTACAGACAGTTTTTATGCACAGTGCAGTCCTACCATATGAAAACAGCTTTGGTTTTATGACAAAATGATCACATCTAAATTCTGTGCAGCCTTATAAGTACTGTCATATTCACAAAGTGCAAATAATAGTTTTATAAGTACAAAACATTTTTCTTATGTACTTATTTGTTATATATGGGAGGCACAGTGATGCAGTGGTTAGCATTGCTGCCTCGCAGCGCTCGGATCTTGGGTTCAGTTCCTGGGTTTACATGGGTTTCCTCCAGGTGTTTTGGTTTAAAGGTAGGCTAATCAGTTACTGGGGCCCCGACCAGCTCTGTTGGTGGAGCATGAGACTCATGATTTCAGGGTAGTGGGTTCGTATTCAACGTATTCAACATTGGGTGCAAGGTTCCCTAATAACCCATACTGGGCAGCAGCAGTATGTGGTGGTGTTGGTGCTGGAGGATCACCTTTCCGTGACAACGGCAACAACACTAGCACTATCTGTGTGGGAGAAATCTACTTGCGTATCTTGCCATGAAAACTCTATGGATAGTGAGCGGGGAACACTGATGGGTCTAAACTGACACAGCGGTAATCATTCGATCCCAACCCCAATCCGCTTCTGGGAAAATTGGCCCTGGTGTGAGTGTGTATTCGTGTGTATGCCCAGCAATGGATTGGTATGCAGGGTATATTTTGCCTAGTGCCCGTTGCTAGCTGGGATAGATTCAGGCTCCCCTGTGATCTTGTGTTGGAAAATTAGAAAATGGATGTTGTACAGTACTGTATATGGTAAATACAAATACTCTTATTCTGACCATACAGAACCCCCCCCCAAGAAATTTAAACCTATTGTGAAACCTGTGAGGTGATCCTTTCTGGCATTTTGCAATTCCCCGTTCTTCTTAATTTCATTACACCATTATGGAAAATGAAGGGAAACTGTAAATCAATCTTGATAAACAGAATTCAGATAGGTGAATATTTGGGTGCTGTTGTTCATATTGATTTGTTCTTTTATTTTCTAATACTTTTAAATCTGATTTAGTATGTTATTAACTTACAGGACATTGGATAAAGTTATTGTTTCAAGTAAATAAATTGGACCTTAGAAGACATTCACTACCTGTGATCTTAAGCTTACAGGTTCTTTCTGTATGTGTTAATTCCTGGTTTTTCTGTCTCTCTCAGATTCATTCCCAGACATGAGGATGAACTGGAGCTGGATGTTGATGATCCTTTGTTTGTAGAAGTGGAAGAAGATGACTACTGGTACAGAGGGTACAACATGCGCACAGGAGAAAGAGGCATTTTCCCTGCTTACTATGCCCATGAAGTAGTTGGGCAAGTCAAAGAGTTTATTGGTATGCCAATCAGACTGTAAATGTGCAGAGTTCATCCTTTGATATTTAGAGCTTTGTAGACACCAATGCATTTTCATTATTTCTTCTAAGTTATCAACAGCCTGTTTTGTTGTGTTCCTTTTCACGTTCTGAACTATATGAGATATGAGATTAACTTGTTTAATGAAGAGGACAACATGTACATCTCTTAGGAGATTCTACATAATCTGCAGCATGGGTCAGACTACAGCCTGTAATCCACTGATTCTAGCAGATGATAACCTTTTCTGAGACAAAGCCAGCTGGCTTCAGGTGTCTGAGAGCATCAGTGCTGGAAACCAAAAGTGGCTGTCTGTAACATAGTCTTGCTCATGGCTGAAGTGATTTTACAGAAGGTCCTTAAGCAACATTCATATTTTCATATTTACAGATCAAAACTGTATCTAAAAAAGTGCACATGAATGTAACATTCAGAAACCTACTAAAGAATCTGAAACTTTAATAGTGATTACAGTGTAAAATGTATTTATTTGGAAGCTATAGAGTGGTGTGGTGTCTAGTGTTGCTACAGTACTTCATAGCTCCTGGGTCTTGGTTTGATCCTGAAATAGGCGGTCTTTTGGCATCTTCTCCCTTTGTTTGTGTGTGTTTTTTTTCCTGGGTGTTCCAGTTTCTGCCCACCTTCTAAAGACCTACTGGCGGGGTTAGTTGATATGTCTTAGATCTCCCGGTGTGGTTGTGCTTGTGTGCCTTGTGATAGACCTACTGTATATCCTGTTCTGTAGCTATGCCTTGCTTCCCTTACTTCTGGGATAGGCTCTGTACTGATATGACCCTTAACATTGTAGATGGCAACATTTCAACAAAAATGAAGCAAAACAACAGATATAAATACTTTTGTATGTGGTCGCTTAGACTCGTACGTCTTGCTGGGTTTTATGTAGATTGTTAGACAGAGGCCCTATGTTCAGGTATGAAAGATATGGAAGAATTGTGAGAAAATCTCACAATTGTACAGTAGCGTGTGTGCATGTACTCATTATAATTCTGCTCATTAAATAATCATGTTGCTATTTTTTCCTTATTTGTGATTCATTTTATGTTGTTTTTAGAACTACAACATGCTTCATTGCATCTCATCTTTCTGTAGAAAACAGATTTTCAGATACTTGGAATTGTGTTTTTTAGGAGTGAAGAGGAACACTGCCTGGGTGGAGAGGTTCAATGTTCAGTTCTTGGGCTCCGTAGAAGTTCCATATCATCAGGGCAATGGAATCTTGTGTGCGGCGATGCAGAAAGTAATTCTTCCTTTGGAAGCATAGAATTAATCTCAAAATATTGTATATGAGCAACAGTGCAGTATCAGTACCCAGGATTAAGTATTACAACAGTACGGGTGAGAGTACAGCACACAGGTTTCAATATTACAACAGTACAGGCGAGAGTACAACACACATGGTTCAGTATCACAACAGTACAAGCAAGTTCTAAAAATCTGCCTGTTAATTGTAAATTTCCCTCTTCAGTTTGTGAAAGTACTATACAAAGGTCTAATAGAGTGGAAACCACTTGCATTAGCTGCATTAGTACTGTGAATATGATCAATGGGATTGGAATCTGTAAGTTTCTGTGTCATCAAAAGTCATACACGAAACTACATCATTGTGATGTTCCTTCTCAAATTTCTCGTGGGTGTTCAAACCCCACAGCTATGATCCTGTATTTAGCCTAATGGTTTGGTGTTTGCCTTTTACAGTACAGATTAGGTGCTTGGAATTATATCTGTGATAGAACTTGAAGTAGTAAAATCCTACAACAACATTTTCACTTTGTATGACAGAAATTTATTTGGCACATTCTTTATCTATCGGGGATATAAGTTGAGGTTCTCCATAGAAAGGTTAAAAGACCCATTGCTTTACTGACATCAGTGTGGATGTATTTTGCTCCTTTGAATTACTGTGATGTTTAACAGAAACTTAATACTGACATTTTTAATGTTCTAGATTGCAACAATAAGAAAGCAGACAGTCCATCTCAGACCCCCAGCTATCTGCGACCTGGAAATCAGCCTGCAGGGAGTCAAGCTGATCATGACTTTGGATGAATATGGGGGAAATGATGAGGTAAGCCCAGATAAAACATATTTAACTGCAATAGGACTGAAAGCAGTCAATTCCTTCACCAAGCCATATTTACATGCTGTATTACCTTTTCAGATTATTGAGGGAGTTAAAAGCACCAGTCACAATGATTTATGGCTATGCATATTAAGTCATGTAATCTTCATTCACACAGAATGCTAAAGGATAGCCTTATCTTATTCTACCTTTTTTGTCTGCCTTATTCATGTCTAGAGTATTTCTATTTGTTTTCATCTGTTCTAATAGTCTGTATTTACTTCTTGTATTGTTTTAATTCGTTATTAAAACCTATTAATTGTTAATGTGAGGAAATTCAAATTACTTTCCATTGACTATTGCAAACTGTTGCATTATGGAAGTGATTTATCCAAACATTTCTCACCAGAGAGCTTTTATGTTGGCTGCATCTAACATGAGTACTTTGAAGCCACCAACAATGTTGGGTGTAGATCATAGAATCCCAATTCATTCCAAGACTGACACTTTGTTCCAGCCATGTTCCTTTTCATTAGCTCTTGGGCAGTTTATTTACTTTCTGCATTTTTGATTCAGTAACAAGAACATTATCTTTTTGAAGTACCATTTGAAACATTGTAATCCACTTTGTTTCTTTTTTTTTTCTTTAAAGCAGATACAGTGTTGTCATTTATCAGATGTATTGCAAAAAATGTTATTGTAGCCTATGGCTGATTACCACATGCAGGTAAATTTGACAATTTTTTCATTTAGTTTGACAGATGCAGTCACTTCTTCCAGATGAAGAATATTTCCTTCTGTGGTTGTCATCCTAAAAACAATTGGTATGTGTCACCTGGAAAAGGCAAACATTCAGAATGTCTCTTGTATTTAAATTAGTTTAAACATAAAAAATTATGTTCCACAAATAAAATTATTCTAAAGCTGTAGTAAGTCCATATTAAGATACAGTATATAGAAAGCATTTATTTCTGACAGTTTTGTATCTGTTCAATAACACTGCAGCTATCACCTAAAGAAAAACAGTGCAAGATCAATATCATGTATTAAGTACACTGTCATGCTGATCAAGCCTTTTGATTCCTTCATGTTTGAAATCTAAAAAAGAGCTGTGTATAACACATTTTATCAAATTGCCTGTACAGCTGAAGGTATGATTATCTGTTCTTAAATGCTTTTGCATTAGGAGGCATGGTAGTCTAGCATTTCTGAAAACAGGGTTTATTAACAGGAGGCTCCAGGTACAAGCCTCAGTTCTGTGATTGACTTTCTCTTTTTACTTAATATTATATTCTGTCCTTCGGGTGATCTGCTAAACCAAGGCTCAGTTGTATGTTACCCTGCAGGTAGCAGTTATTCATGCATGGCTGAAGCTTTAGTCTCTGTGTAAGTAATGTTAGATAAAACCATGTAATGTGTGACATATTATTATACAAAGATAGTGTGTAGATGAATTTTTACAAGAAATAAAGAAACAATTTGCTAATTTTCCACAAATTATAAAAAAATGTGAATTCTGTGTTTAAAATCTTCCAAAAAATAATTTTCTAGGATTTCTGTACATTACTGAAAAAGGGTGGTGTGACTTGTTTCTGGAAGAGAAATTGATTCACTTCTAGTTGTGTGAATTGCAATCTATTGGGCAGATTTCAGTTTTTAACCAAAAAAAAAACTGGAACACTGACACAGCAGTTAGGATGGCTGCTTTGTAGTGCTGGTGCCCTGGGTTTAATTCAGGGCCTGGAACGCTATCTGTCCACAACCCTGATTTGGGAGAAGTTGTTAAAAAAACTATGGATGGTCAAACAGTAAGAGTTTTAAAACTAAATCTATAAAATATAGCAATCTACCAAAGAATTATTAATTTTAAGTGCTTTATTGTTTTAGGTTTTTATTTCAAATTCACCACTAGATGGTACCACAAGACTTTTATAATACCTGACATTTAGACTATTTCTTTTGAATTGCAACATAATTTCAAAGTTGATTAGTATAAATAAGAACTATAACAGAGCAACATGCAGTGATTGATGTGTTATTAATATCAGTAAAACAGAGCCATTCAATATCTATTTTTTAAATAAAATATAGAATGGTGTATTGTGTAAGAGTGTAATACATTTTAGTTTTAAAAACTCACACTTCATGGCGAAGATACAAAACTTATTAATAACGTGTGAACATAGAAAAGGCATGAACTCTTCAAGAATGATCCATCAGCAAATTTAAAAGTAGTAAGACAGCATTGCTTGTTGTAACCATGTAGTTATTTTTACATCATGAGAAGATTTTTCAAACAATTGCTTCAGGAAAACAAAATCTGTCAGTTAATGTAATGCCTGTTAAAAATGTGTTTGTCCAGCTACTTTGGATTCATCACGAAACACCCAGTACTGAACCGGTTCGCCTGCCACGTCTTTGTATCCCAAGAGTCCATGCGGCCTGTAGCAGAGTGTGTGGGGTACGTTAATCTTAATCACTGACCTGTTCTTTATTTATGAATGTCAGATATAAGGTTGGGTCTTAACTGGGAATCACTTGTGTGAAGTCTTTGATAGCCTTTGTTTAACTAATTATCTGCTCATTATTGAATTTGATTTTTTAATCTATAGAATTCCCAGTAAAAATTCTAACAATTTCAATCAATATTTTTGTAACAAGGAAGAACTAAGCACGGCTTAAGCTTTTTCTCATCATCCCCAGTGGGGGTATTTCACATTAGCCCTGCATTACTTGTAAAATACACATATATCAAGTTCAGTTAAACAAAGGACTTGATAAACACTTTGGGATTAAGCTCTAGCTCTCTCATCTTAAAGACCTTTCTGAAAATTGTTCTAGAAAGCAACTGTTATTAAAGGAGCATTCCGATAGTTATTTATAGGAAGCAAAAGCCTCCTGGGTTGGGATTAACATCATCTGTTAACCTTGCAGATAAGCGGCTCAGGCTAGGAAGTTTATCTGCATACTGAATTATATCATCTTTCATTTTTTTTGCATAGACCAAAGGTTTGAAGGCAGTTAATTGTACACTGTCTTAGTTGTCCTAGCACAACCACACTGTCCTATTTAGTTCATTTATATAACACTAAATCCAGGGTTTTGGTGCATATTATTTTCAACCAAACCTGTATAGTGTAAAGCCCTGGAAGCAACAGTTTAAATCATTTTCCTGCAACGTCTTGTTTCAGACGTGCATTTCAGGAGTATTACCAAGAACATCTGGAATATGCCTGCCCGACAGAAGATATCTACCTGGAGTAGCAAGGCCCAATGGACTCGTCCCCCTGACTCTGTATGTTCTTCAAGCTCTCCAGCAGGGAGCACTTAGTAGCTATTTTCTTTTGTAAAATACGTTCTTTTTGAACTGGGATGCTTCTCTTTTTCCTCTTCCTCTACCTTTCAGATACCCTCTGATGGAACTTCTATTTATTTGGATTGCTTTCTTTTTCTACAAGGTAGTGGGGATCCAGGGGGCTGAGGAACAGTGCTTTTGAAGATCTTTTTCTTTCTCTTCAGTTTCGAAACAAACAAAAAGGACATTTACTTCTGTACGTTTGAAAATCATGCATGGCTTTAAAGTGATGCACACACATATACACTAAAAAAATGAAGAATTGTCTGTTGACTTCAAATGTAATAATAATTCAGGGGATTGCATACCCTTGATAAAAAGCAGTAGATAAACATAGAACTTCACAGCTGGTTGAACTTGGAGCCTTGAGATGTAAATATAAATTAACTCAAAGCCAAACAAATATGCACTAGATTTCCACAGAGACAGACATTTGGGTGCGGTTGACTGTACAAGGGAGTACAAGCGGGAATATTAATTCCTTAATTACTGGAACCACTGGAGTGGAACCGTAAAAAGGACAGCCAGTGTTCCCAATAAAGCATAGTGTAAATATATGTATAGAGAGAGTAGAAATTAGGGACAGCTCATAAACTCATCATTTTGGTATAATTAGCTTTCACTCTTAACTATCACTAGGTTGTGAGGGTAGTCTGCTTGGTGTTGGTATCTTCATTAAATGGGACTGAATCTTAGTAACTATATGTGCTGGTCCCAAAATGGAAAACAAGATAAACAGCAGGCGGATGATCGCCATAAATAGAGAATACCTTCTAGTGGTACAGTGTAAGACGTCTGCTAAGGCACATCACTTGTAAATATGACTTACATTCAATATTAGAAAGCACTGATGTTTACCTCCTCATGACGCCACTGAACAGAGAAAATGTTAAAGAGCTGCTGATATAACCACAGTCAGGATGTACCAATCGGCAACAGTGATGGAGGTACAGCTCTAGACTACACCCAGGCACAGTGTGTTTGCTCTGTTAGCTGATTCTGCAGGGGTAGGGGGTGGGGGGTGGGGGTAGAATGTGTGTAAACTGATGTATTATTTTCTATCAGTGCTGTTTTCTTAATTGAGGAATACCAGTTAAGATCATGAAAGCAGGTTGTGGTTTTCTAGGCTCTGGTAAAAGGCTCAGGAAGTTTATCCACAGAACATCTTTATTCTGTTACCGGTTTCTCCCTGTCGTCTTGCTATATAAACCAAGTTTTCGTGTCTGTCTGTGCCTGCTACATTATATACTGTTTTTTGTTTTCGTAAGGGGGACTCAAAGGGATCTCTTTACGTTTGCACATCAGCTGGGATAAAAGCGATGATGTAAATGTAATTTGCCACTCTGATGTGTGCTTCTTTGGCCTCAGTGCAGATGCTGTGTGTTGTAGCTTAAAGACAACAGTGAGTGGGATGTGTTCAGATTTGATGAATACTTTTAAATATATTACGGAATTCAGCCTAGTCTTCTCTTGAGTAGCAGAGATAATAAATTAAGCAGGCTCCATTTCTGACCATGTCTCTTCTTTGCTAAAGTGGAAGTGGTTTAACTGACAAAATGCAAAACTGAAAGACGGAAGGGGAACTATTTTGTTATGTGGTATCACTTCATATATTGATCCTCCTTTAGAATTAGAATTACTGCTGCTCATTGCCCAGCGATTCCTGAGTTACGCAGACAGCAGCAAGCTTGTGAAAACAGCATCCAAGCATGATTTTTCCCAGTGAAAACTACTAATGGAATTAAATTTGGCTTTAGAAACTACAATATGCAATTGTTTGCTTTTATTAATTTGTCTGTGAATTTCTTGTTGTATGAACAATATTATCCTACTGTGTAAAGCCATACTACACAACTGCATTTTTATAGTATGCTGTAATGGTCTCTGATATTAACATTATCTATAAAATACTGAATATTTTTTTTTAGTGTAGAGTTCTTGTAACAATGCTTCTCAACTGTTTCAGTCACTTCACGGATCAGATTTTAATCATAAAACACGACATATGGTATGCAAGGGCAGTCATATCAACTCTAGATAATGCTTACATGAAAAATGGGTATCCTTGCAAACAAAAAGACTTTGAATCTATAAAAGTGTGACCTTAGGCAATATTTAACAATATTATGTCACTGTTTTTTTTTTAGAACTGAAGAATACAGCCTCCATATTTGCCTTCCTACCATGTAAATGTAAATGAATCTGTTGAACTTCTAGGTCCACTGTGCAGACCTAACATGTAGCATATGAACATTTGCAAAGGGCAAATTTCCACATTTGTTGCCATCCTTGTTTTTGATTAATGGTGTTGTCGACCACCAGTACGGGTAGATGTCCCTGCACATAAAAAGATCCCTGGCTAGAAACAGCTTCTTGACTCATCACCATCAGTCCTCTCAAGCAGTCGTTTGTTGGTTGTTTCCCAGTGCCATCCTGTCCTCAGCCAGGCAAGTTAAAGCCAGAGTAAGAAGCGTGCTATTTTTTTACTCGGCTCTAGTTTCATTAGTAGAATTTGACCGAACAGCCAAATATGTGAAAAACGTCAACAGCTGAGCTACTGTAAGTTCCAAACTAGCCTGCCCCGGTTTAGGATTTATTTTAGTCGGTCCTCCAGAAATTCTCATCTCCCTCTCTGTGGAAGCGTTTCCCACTGAAGCTCTGCTTTCTAGGGTTGGCTTCTGTTTTCTAAGAGAGGACCTCTGTGTGAAAGTCCATGTTTCAGCCTTTACTCTTGCAACAAAATAATTTGTACCAATACCTTCTTTATAGCTCATTTTTTTCATTATCACTTTAGTGAAAGCAGAAAGGAGAAGAAGGGGTTTTGAAACTACACAGAATTTAATGGCAAAGTACAATAATATCGATAAGGCACATTTTGCTCTTTAAAAAATAGCAGAAGTCATTTATTATTCCCCCTTAATAACTTAGTTATGATAATCACTTTGATAAATGTGCTTTAACTTTTTTTTTACATAATGATAACATACTTTAACTAACAGGCTTCTTATTTCCTTATAGTTTTTTGTTATCACATATATAAAAATGAAGAAATAAAATAAGTTCTAGATAAAAACACACATCTTTCCTTCTAGCATATGTCTCCTTGGAAACATTGGAATCAAAGCTAGTGCCCTCAGGATAACCAGGAATGAGTCTTTAATATTAAAAGTTGAATATCAACATCATTGTCATCATCATCACATGACTTTCAGTAACTGCTTATCCAGTTCTGGTTCGTAGTGGCCTGCAGCTTATCCCAGAGAGCACCGAGGCCAGGGTGGGATACACCCTGGATGGGAAATCAGTCCATAAAAGGGCACACGTAGACACCAACATGAACACACTCACACCATGGCCATGTTTTACTAAAGCCAATTAATCTGCTAGGTATGTTTTTGGACTGTGGGAGATAATCGACTCAACCGTGGGGAGAACATACTGTACAAACTCAAAGCAGTGAGCACAGCCATGACAATAAAACACAACATAAATTATCATTCTTTGTCAGAACAATAAGCACAACTGTGTTCTGTTTAAGAGCAACCCACCATTTACCATTAAACTGAACTAATTTGTGCAGTTTTCTTTTCAAATTTACAGCAATTGTTTTCATTCCCACATATGATTTGCATAATGTCGTCAATGGGACAAGACTAGGTTTTCTGTTCTCCATCTCATAGGCGGGTGTTCATTGCAATTATTTGCAATTTTTCATTGCAATTATTTGCAATAATTTAATTAATTAAACTATTAATGTTGTCCATACAGGACACATTATTAATAAATAGTTAGCATCATAATTACATGGCCTGCATTTTTACAACAGTTATAGACCTATACATAGGGAATGTTACCATTCCAATATGCACTATAGCACAAATAGACTGAAACGTTGATAATTAAAATGGCTTTTTTCTTCAACCATGTTATTGAATAAGCTCTCTTAAAGGCAGTTAGTTTTCAAAGCATAAATACAGTAAATCATTCAGATAAAATAAAGAGTTTTCCTTTCAAAGAGAAATCAGATACAGCTATGACCGTTACAGCTCCTTCTTGTTGCTTGACCTCCTGTACATACAAGCATCTACTGCTCAGGTATTATCTCTCCATTGTAATGGATCTTTCATGTACTGTAAGTGATGACAGTACCAGAAGATCTGATGTGCACAGCCGAACATGTGGCATCCAGAATTGAGGGATTTAAAGACTTGAGTCTATGCGGATTACCTTCAGCTCTGTGTACAGCTCTGATAATTGTAATGTGAGCAGTGTCATGACTCCTTCTGTGTTTTTTGACACACCTGCCCAGCCTTTTCTTGAACTTCGCATTACTATCATTACCACAATACATACTCCTTTCTTGTGAAAATCAAGATTATATAGTAAGTTCTTTTCTGTTCCTTGTGATAAATCCTCTGGTTTTATACAGTGCCTTTTGTTTTAAGTTGTGTGTGCTCTTGAGTTATATTCCTCCACAGAGGACAATACAATCTGAGAGAATTATAGTGCATATCAATCTTATTTTGGTCACTTGAACGTTGGGGCTGTATTGGAATGTACATGTTGGGTTTTTGTTATTAAAAAGCTCTACTGTTGTATGTATTCTTTATTTTTAAGGCTTCAGGCTATTGTCCAGACTAATAACATATTAGTTTGTTATTAATTTCGTTTCCATTTTTAGCAGCATCACCACACTGAATTTGCATTATAATGTATACAGTATATAAAACTATGCTTTCACGGTACTGACTAAATTAAGACAAAAAATTTAAAATATATTTACCTTTCTAGCTGTTACTGCAGCAGTTAGGCCAAAGAGGAAACCAAACGAACTGTTTTACAGTGGTTTTGATATGTAATTGGAGTTCTATTTTTTTCTGAATTAGACCATGCAAGCACAAAGTTCATATGGTAAATATCTTATTCAATCTAAAATAATTCCAACTCTACAAATTATTGATTGGATTGGAACAGTTAATAAGGGTAACTGTTACATTCATATGTTGTAAAATAAAAATAAGTAAGATATAGTTTTGAGCACAGAATTCATATGAGTTCCCTCTGGTTTTAACTATACTTTCTATTTTACTACTTAATGTTGTCAGGAGGCAAGGTCTACAGTCAGTTTAATAACCACCTGGCTAGGAGTATCCTTACATTTCACTCAGATTTGATCATACACACGATGCCTTGCAAAGGCAAATAAAGGTTTAATTAAATCCAAGAGCAAATATTTTTCTGTGTGGTTGCTGTAGATCACTGGAATGGTGTTCTGTGGACCAGTATGTGCCAGGGGGCACTGTGATGTGATGTGTTTCCGATTCAAAGCCAAGCAGTCAAAGCAAAGAATGAATAAGTAAAGATTATTATTTGAATTGACAGTGATGTTAAAGTGCTCTTGTTTGGCTTGTACCTTAAGCATTCGCCTGCAAGGAACTCAAGAGTCATGACAATAAACTGCACTATGTAATAAACTTGGCCATTTACGCACCATTTACAGTAGCCTTTAAAACATACACTGTATCAAGGGAAGCGTTTTCCAGCTGACAATGCAGAAAAAAGTGTCATACTTGAAACAGTATGCGAGCCAATGGCTAGTGAAAACACCTCTTGCCTATTGTGTTGGGAATCTTTATTAATATCACTTTAGCATTGACAATGTGGGCTTTTGTTATCATTAAAGAAAACAATGGACCCCAAAGCCTTTTCATCTTTTACAGCTTCACAGTATTTGTAGAAAAAGATTGTGAAATGTAAATACATACTTTTAAAAGTTAGGAACCTTTTAAACTGAAAGAGTGATACAAGTCCCCCCCTTTCCACCGCGTGTTCATGTTTAAGGGAGTTTCCATAGTAACTAATTGTAGACTTGTGGAAGCTAGCTGTGATTGGAATATTAATGGATAAAAAAGGTTAAAAGAATATCACTTGGTATTTGTTGTTAGCTAAATTATTGTAAATCTAGAGTAGAGTGTACATGCTCATGCTGTGTGGTTTGTGTTGCTCAAATAAATATGTTATGTAAAAACACAAATCTTCACCTTTACAACTGTATCAAAATTGTGACAAGACATTAGGACACTGATATGTGTCCTTTTGAAGGAATATTTACTTATGTAACTGTTGCACACAGAATTTGCTGACTTAACATCAGTTGTCTTCTCGTCTCACCATGTGATGTGCAAGATTGATTTTGCACAGGCGCTCACATTTACTTTGTACGCAGCAGATTGTGGCAATGTGTCTCTTCCACACAATTATAGGATTGTGCAACAGGAGACATGAATGTACCATCTAAACCTAGCATTTGTGTGATCACAGATGTGAATTCGCTAGTTCCAGGGCAGTTGACATCTATTACAGAGCTGCAGAGAAACAACCTGTATCTAAATAAGAACTTGTACAGCATTTGCTATCTTAAAAAAGAACTATTGCATATTGCTAGTCTATTGCAGAAAATTAATCCCTTTCGCTTTATACTTTGTAACCTTGACCTTTCACTTATTTTGATTCAAGAGAGGTTTTCAGCATTTTAAAATCGAAGAGCTACTTCCTTTTGACCCTTCCTCTTTTGGTAGGCACACAAACTCCAGCAGATTCTTTTAGCCTGTATAATCCATAACAATGTAACTTTGAAACTTAAATGAGATTCTTCACTGTATAACTATAACACATCAGTATGTAATAAACAATATGTATCTTGTATCTTTAAAAATGAGGACTTGTAAAAAAAAAAAGGAAAAAAAAGTTAAATTTATTCACACTGCCTTGTCATGGATTTGGTCTTATGAATAAAATATATGCTTGATGTCAGAGAGTGTTTGTATGTTTCTTTGAGTGTGCTTGTGTTTACTCAGTTGTTTCAGTTGCTCCACAACTGGAAGCTATTGACAATAACCCGCTGCTTAAAAGCTTGGCAACCTGGTAAGTGAAGTCAGTGGTGTTTTGCAATATAAAAAAGCATGAAATCTGGCCTGCAACAAAATTCAGACTAAAGCTGGGGATGATTGAGGCCAAGATTCACATATGATTTAAATACATTTTAAAATACAGATTGTAGTTTTGAACCTTTAGTTGCACCATTTAAAGTAGACCATGAGGGGATTTTACTGAAATATCATGCAATTATCTAAGGATGTCTCCTTCACTACAATAATATAATATTAACAAGTCCTTAGCTTCCTGGGAGAGTCTCTGGTTTCGATTCAAGAGTTCTATAATTTAAAATTTCATCTTTAACAGAACCAGCTATATTGTAATTGCCTCCTTTTGATTATTCTCAGCTTGGAAACTACTGGAAATTCTAGTTTGCTTCATAACACCATGTGTAATAATAAATCCTATGGATTTTAGGAACTGAAGATAATGGGATTTCTAGTAGAGAACAAGCCCAGCCTTTCAAAATTCTACAAAAATTACAGGTACACAGTCTTCTAAATTGTACATTTCTAAGAAGTCTTCGACCATGATAAATAAATAATAAAAGGTAGAGTCTGTATCATCTTTGATATTTATCTTATTGACTTCCATAAATTACGTGGGGAATATGGTTGGATTGAAATTAAAAAAATTGAAAAAGTCATTGACACTTTCAGGTGAGGGTTAAGGAAATAATCACTGTAATGTGAGTCCCAAAGATAAATATGGAAATTTCAAAGTTAAACATAAATATCATAAAAAAACATAAATAACATAAAGCCAATTACATGTCTTTTGAAACAAAATTATTTATGAATTAAATAACACTATGAGTAATTAAGGTACAGGGAACATGAAACTCCTAGTTTCACTAAATCAATTAAAGGGATAAATAGGAGGATCATTTGAAACAGGGGTTTTAAATAGATCTTGGGGGCTAGGTTGGAAGGCCGCCCCACCTTGTATAATGATCAGAAAAAGTGTGAATTTTGTCTTCACCATACAGTGTGTGAAAACAAGTCATGTTATAATCTAAAGAAATCTTTAAGGACCTCAGAAAAAAAGTTTATGAGCTCATCAGTCTGGAAAGTGTTACAAAACCACTTCTGAGAACTTGAGGCTTCATAGATTCCATCAAACAGATAGGTTACAAATGGAAGATGTTCAGGAGCACAGTTATACTACACAGAATCCTACCAAAATCTCTCCATGAATTTACTGGAAAATCATCCAGGAAGCTACAAAGAACCCTAGAGTTACATCCAAGGATTTGCAGACCACTCTCTCTTTGGCTACCATGGTTGTTCATGATATCGGAAAATGACTGAACATTTTAATGGGCCAGAATTCCTCAAAACTGATGTGAGATATCGAATGATAGTTACCTTTAGTCATTCCTGCTCAAATGGGTGGCACCAGTTACTGAATCTAAACATTTGCATATTGCACCATTTGAGGGTAAATAAATGTTGAAAGACTATCATGTTTTATGTCTTTAGTTTCATAACATTAGCTTTATCTATTAATAGGACGTAAATTGATATCTATTAATATTTTAGGTTTCAATAATGTGAAAATTCTAAGTGCTTCACAAACTTTTTCTTGGCACTGTCAGTATTAGGATACTTATTTTCAGAATGTTAAAGTCAGTATTTTCATATTAATTTGAGTCAACTGCAAGCAATCTGCAACCCATTGACTATGTATGTACTGTATAATATGTGATATTTTCCTGTAGCTACTTTGAGTTCCTGCATATTCTTCGCATGATTGAACTACAATTTTATTTCACCAGCTTGTAAAAAGCATTTGCATTTGGATTTGTTCTATTCTGTTCCAAAAGTATTAGAATTTCCTGGAATTTCCTCAGTGTGTTTCTGAGGTTGCACCCAAATCTGATGCATCTCCTGTTGAGTCTGTAAAGGGTCTCTGAAGAAACCAGAACAGGTGCTGCAGTCCAAGTCAGGAGAATGATACTGATGTAGTAGGAAACAAGTGCTGAGATAGGGAGAGCCAAAAGCAGGGAGCGGTGTTGTTTGCAGCAGACCACAGGGATGCGGGTAAATAAGCCGAAATGCACAGAGCACTACAGGCAGACATGTATCTGCGCAGCCAGACCATCACATAGCAGTCGCAGAAATGCAGGCATACCGCTGAAGTGGAAACAAGATAAAGCAACAAGGGGATATCTGAAGGGGGAGTAAACAGGCAAACAGGTTGAAATATTGGAGAGGGTTCATAGAGTTAGGCAATCCGGGTCATACAAGGAAAGACAAAAGTGGTGGTGGTTGAGTGCCGTCTAGTCAGTATTGACTCATGGGGACCCTATGGACACTTCCACTGTCACTATCCATAGAGTTTTCATGGCAAAATACAGAAGTATCTTCTGTATCCCCTTCCCCCCCATACTACTGGTTACAGAGCACATGAGTGACTGAGCACCGCTGGAAACAAGGTAAGAGCTGCTAATGATGTGGCGATGCTATAAACAGCCTGCCTGTGATGCCATGGAAACAGGCTGATGGGAAGTTTGATTCGGTGACTGACCACTGGCCATGATGGTGTGGGAGCTGGAAACACTCTGATCTATTTTAACATTGACCAACATTTTTGGGGAGAGGGTTAATGTTTTATATTGATTCTTTAAAAATGTATAAGACGTGAAAGCCTTGGGATCTAATTCAATACCGAAGAAAAAAATAAGAATTAATTTTAAGAGATTCATTAAGGCAGATGGAGTTTATGAGGCTGTCTTCAGCTCTCCAGTTATCCCATTTGGCTCTCTTTTTCAGTCCTCCAAGACTCAAGTTCGTCCTCCTTGATTTTCTGGTACAGAATTCATTAGCGTTCACAGGCAACTAGTCAACTGATGTGGGCACTTCAGCTGAGCGACCGGCTCTCCTCTTACACAATATTCAAAATTCAAAATCAGCCAGAGATTATTCATTAAAAGAAACTATGAAGAGACATTATCATTATTTATTATACCTCAAAAATGCAGCCAAGCACATCCTGTTCTCTACCTCCCAGAAACACTCTCCCTTTTCCTCATGGGATTGATAAAGTATCGATCTAGTTCCTTTCTACCCTCAGTTTGCCATGTACTCCTGCTAAATAACTTTTTCTTTCTTTGTTACTGTGCTTAGTGAAGTTGGACATGTATACAGCTCACTCATCCAACATTGCAATATCACCACTTAAGCACATTGTGAGAGGTGTTCCTGTGGTCTGTTAATTGAGCCTTCGACAAAAGTTACGCTAAGATGCCATAAAGCTGACTTACTTTAGCAGCCCCAGTGACAGCGCTACATAATAAAACACAAGAACAACACCCACAAACAGGACAAGGCAGGCCAATGTCTGCTGCATATCAAAGGACAGAACCTAGAGCAAGACAGAGTAGAACAAGAAGTAATTACATATCAAAGAACAGGACAAACACCCAGATCATGAAATAAACTTTCTTCTGACTGTATATAGGAGCCCTTGCAGTTTGTCTGTTCTTTGGGGCAGACCCAGCATGCGTTGTTGGACTTATTGAGCTCAATAAAACTGAATCTTTACAAGACTTTGTCCTGCTCCTCTGATGAAGAATTTCCCACATCAGCTTATGTGATTCAAGGCCAAGTGCTCAGCCTGAACAGCCTGATCTTTTCAGATCTTTCAGAATACCCAACCAGTGGGGGTAGGAGTCACTACACCATTCATACCATCCCCAAGCATCCGGGGCTGAGGACATGTCAAAGGTGGAAGCCCCTGCCCATCCCTCTCGAAGCACTGCCACACTGCCTGTGTTTGAGAGCTGGGTCTCCTCAATTCAATCAATTCAACTTTATTGTCATTAAACTTACACAGGTGCATAGTATAATGAAAAGTGTTTCTCATTAGTCACTCAGGTGCAGTATATAAATAGGACAGAAGATAAGACAATAGACAGTAACACAATAGCAATAACAGTAACATGTAATAACACAACATAAATAACGTAATCAAGTAATCAAAACTGTGCAAAATTCCACAGAGAAAATATAACAGGACAAATACAGTGCAAGGTAATTCTTGGAACAGTGCAAAAATAGTGTGGTTAAAACTAGTATGGTTAATTAATAAATATTAAATATTATTACGACCAGTAAAGTTTTACTGGGCTATCGAGGGGACAGTACAATTTTGGCTTATATGTGTGTGTAGTGGTGTAGGAGTACAGTGGTTGTGGGTACAGGAGGATGTTAGGAGAGAGCATAATATGGATGGAGGGAGTGGGGGCGTCACCAACTTGACAGTTCTGGGGAAGAAGCTATTTTGGAGTCTAGTTGTGAGCCACTGGAGTGGCCGGAACCTTCTCCCAGATGGTAGGGGAACAAACAAGTTATGACTGGGGTGAGTGGGGTCAGACATAATTTTGGTGGCTTTTTTCAGACTCCTGGTGTTGTATATTTCCTGGATGGATGGTAAGGCACTGGCGATGATGTATTGGGCAGTTTTGACCACCCGCTGTAGTGCCTTACCGTTAGATGTGGTGCAGTTGCCGTACCAGACTGTGATGCAGCTGTAAAATTATGCTCTCCACTGTACATCTGTAGAAGTTGGTGAGGATCTGTGGATGCAGGTGTATTTTCTTCAGCCTTCTCAGGAAGTAAAGCCGCTGTTGTGCCTTCTTGATGAGACTGGAGGTGTTCAGTGTCCATGTAAGGTCCTTAGAGCTTAGAGTTAGGTCCATAGAGTTCCTCACTCTTTAGGAGTGCTTTCTCTTCCCTGAAACTTGGCCAAGGATTGTGGAAAAGTCTCAGGTCTCATCTCAACTCCATCCATTGTCACAACTCTTCCGTTATGCAGTTTCTCAAAACAAATCTCTAGGGGAGCACCTCTGTGTTCTTCTGACAGGGTTTGCGCCAATATGCAACAAACCCTACCCTAGCCCAGGGTGGTCCCAGGGATGTGCACACATAAGAATTCCACAGTCAAAGCAAGTGCAGGACACTTTATTGCAGGCTTTTTCAAATTTTACAACCAAGTTACAGAGTCTTCAAAGACCCAAAACCACCACTAGCATTGTGTATGTTCTTTATACTGTATATATACACAAAAATATGAATGCCCTGGTTTCTTACAAGCCTTTCTTGTGTTTTAATTTACCCTTTTATTCATTTGGCTGATACATTGGCTAATTGATAATTAATCATTTGGATAATTTGGTTGTAATTTATTTTGAATTAAGCTTGTGCAACTGTGCTTTTTTATACTTTAGTTAGTATGACATTTACAGCATGTCCTGATCTGCTTTCAGCATCATTTATTGAAGCTAGATTATGACAGAAGATGAGAAATTCCTGGCACGACAATAATAGCAGTTAACAAAATCATGTTATTTTCAAATGTAATTCCTGCAGATTATATTTAAATTATTGTTTAATATTAAAGATAAAAAACAACCATTTTTTTTTATTTAAACATTCATTAACTGGATTTTACGAAGACATACAGTATAAAAAGTGTTCCAGGTCAGCAGGTAAAGACAGAGTATTTTAATGATTCCAGTAACCATATTCTGCGGGAGGCTGAAAAAACAGGAAGTGTCCACATTTGTAATTTCACTTGCTGCTAACTGCAAGCACAGCATGAAGGCTTTGGGATACACTGCGGGTTACAGCAGGGCTGCAGCTCAGGGTCAGACCCCATCCCTATCTGGCTTTCCCCAAACACCATTGTCTTCTCAAATTCCTCCTTTCTAGCTTGTATTTCCTGAAGGACATCTTTATAATCAGGATGGCTGGGCCCAAGGCTGTAGTTCTCAGATGGGTCTGACTCAAGGTCAAAGAGCAGTGGTGGATCATGACGTGTCAGAAACGCATTTAAATGGCAGGCCTGATCAGGAGTTGTATCACTGTGAGAAGCACCTGAAAGTATAATTTAGGGACAAAAAAAAGAAGCCTTCAAATTCAATGGCAAGTGTTAAATGTTGAACAAACCTGAGAGACGACAAAGTTCAGGTATTTTCTGCAGTGGATCAACCATCAGGCACGATCCTTAATAATCAGAAGATGTTTTTTAATGCTATCAATCAACCACAAATTCAGCAATTCTGGTTTCTCTTCTACTTACCAGAATTGAGATTTTTAGGAAAGCTGACATTTTTTAAGTAACTTTAAACAATCACATACTAGAGAAAATGAACCCATAAAGATGATAAAAACTATGGAACAGGTTTCAATATTGATACCATTGTGGAAATTTCCATGTTCTCTTTTTGCCATTTTTGTTTTTGGGAAGTTACAGCTCTGATTAATTTAAGAATGTAAAAATATGTCTGAACAACTATATGCAAAAGCTGCTCTGCATCAGGAAACACTAAGCAACATATTTTCTGTGACTTGTTTGTCAGTGATGGATAATGACTGACAAATAGAAGTCTTGGAATCACACTCGCAGAGATTGTTCAAAAAAGCAGAAGCTACTATAACTACTGTAAGTAGTCTGGCTCTCTGTAGTGACTTAGTTTTTAGCAGAGTCTGAAATCTATCCAGACGTTACAAGTTCAAACCTTCTAAACTTCATTGACTCATCACTGAAAATACACAATTGGCAATTCTAAATCCTCAGTATAATAATTAAATACATAACTGGCAAATTCTAAATAAAAATGATCAAAAGATTTAAAAAGTATTTTCTACCTATATAAGGTCCCCTACTCTTGCATGTTACAGCTTCTATTAACCAAATCACAGCCCTTTTCTCGCAAAAAACTGACATATTGTTATGCATAGTTTTGTGCAAGCTTAAAAACTGATCACATCAGTGTGAGGCAGCATCTGATAAAACATGTTTCCTTAATAAAATGTATAAGTATTAAATAAGTAATAAATAAAATAAGTAAACATAAGAATATAATAATAATATGAGTTTGCAAAATATATGCTACTGAAAAAATGAGAAAACACCTCAGCAATTAAGAATCACCCAGCTTATTTTCATTTTTAACCAACTATGATATGTGATCAGAATCTCATGAAATAACATTTCTTAAGATCTAAACTTTTAAGATATAATAAAAGGGATTATCATTTACAAAAATAATCATTAAGACTGCCTGTCCTCTTATTGGACATTGATTTGCTTCAGTAAAGACACATCATTATTCTGTCCGTTGTATTTCAAGGTACTGTAAATACAATGAGACTTGCTCTGTTTTATGTTCTAATTAATCATTTAATTTTAAGCTCCTTACCCTGTACGTGGAACAATATTGAGTTTTATGGACATATAGATTAAGTACATTGCCTACAAATCTAATTTCCATAATATCAAACTTTTTAAACAAACATATGGATGAACATTTTTCTGTCAACAGAAGTAGTGAATTACAGATTTTTATAACTTCCCAATTTGGAACTCCCCACTGTTAATCAGCTTTCTGCTATGATCAAAGTACTGTATGAAAAGAATGAAGATCCACACACAGACACTTTGACACCCAGGGGTCAGAGACGTTTGTCATTTGACATGCTGCAGGCTCCACAGTGCCATGCTGGGCTGTTTGCAATGATTGGAAATGAGGCAGCACTGCTTGTCTTCTAGGCAGTCGAGCCCCAGGTGCTGGAGTTGCAATGTGAACCAAGGACACCCTGGTTCACTGAATCCAACCCCAGCATGGTGGAATTTAGCCAGCTGCGTTTTGCTGCTGGGGAAATGTCCGTCAGTCAGCAAAGGACACAGTTTGGTGATGTCTCGATTATAGCTCTGAACCTAAGCTCACTACAAGGACATTTGCTGGGTAAGCAATTGCTGATGAGAATTTTTTCAGCTCGTAAAGCAGCTGGCCTTTTCCTCCTTCTTACCCCGTGTGTAGTAATGTGCCTTATACTTCCTAAGCCGCACAGCAAAAACGCCAAGATTCTCACTGGGATCTGTGGGGTAGTAAAACATGACTTCTCTCCTACTCTGAAAAGGAAAAAAAGATAACAAAGGCATTAAATGTGAAAATAAATGCTTTATGCTGAGATAAGACAACGCAAACCCAAGCTGAATGTGCAACTAAGACCTAAGGGCAGGACATTACAATCCATTCAGTGTCAAGTTGGCTTTTTTATGAACCACTGCTTTCAAGATGCCTCCTTCTAGTATCTTCCCTGCAACTGCTCTAGGTCAGGCCATTTTAAGCACATCAAAAATAAGCTCAAAGGTTCTAAACAGAAAGGCAAGTCATTTAAGTGAGAACTGAAAGTTGAATTCCATGCCTAGGCCATTGTATTACATTAAAGCTCAGAACATTTCCATAAGTGTGGTCTCTACCGCAAATATTGTCAAGCCACTACAGAAAAATGAAAAGAAGAGCAAACATTCACAATCCTTGTAATGGACAGAATAGATCCATTGAATAGATTCACCAGGAAAACAAAAAACAAATCCAGCTTGAAAGAGACATCAATACTTGCAAGCTTCTAACAATTATCTAACACATGAATCCAAGGAGAGAGCAACGTGTAACCCCTATAAAACTATCAATAAGATAATTAAAATATATCATTATTAGTTATAGAACCTTCCCTATAAATTCATCTTTGGTGTTGTATGATTCAAAATGCTTCTAGTAACCTGCGAATGAACTCCAACATATTCTGGTGTGGAAATCCCAAACCGTGAGAAACCTCTCAAATAATGCAAATTAGGCAAGTAATCTCAAATATATAAAATGATAACAGAGAGACTTCAGCAAAGAGAATAAAGTGTAGGAGTTAATTACTTGGTTGAATCACTAGAAGTCATGCAGCAGCAAGAGGTCTGTTGTCATTCACTTGCTGGGCTGAGGCAGGGTCAGAAATGCCAACATTTTTTAATTTAGTGTTACACATGACTATATTAATATACTGCATGTGAATATTGTCATGAGGCGTATGCATGAGTGAAATAGCAAATGGAGGAACAGAGCACTATGCCTTCCTACTATATCATTCTTTAACGCCAGACCTTCTCTCCCCGTTCTCCTGCATAACTTCTTAAATCAATATATGTATTGTCATTTATGATAGGCAAAGTACTCAGTCCAAATTTTCATCATATTATGCAGCAGGACATTACTACCACTCCACAGTAAACGTACCATTTTAACAATTCATGACAAATGTCTAATGTCTAAAACTTCAAGGGCACTATCAGCTTGTTTATGGCAAGGACTCAGCCTTGTCCTTCAGTAACACCACTCATGATGCAGCACAATGTCATCATATTGTCGGTACTACTTGTCTGGAGTTGTCAATCACACAATTCTTATATCCTGTGTGTAGCTTCTGTAATACAAGGCTGTTTAGAAAGGTTAGCTAAGGATAAAGATTAAAGTGCTGAGCACAGCACCTTGATCATTATGTCACGTGACAAAAATTCTTGATTTCAGCAAAGTGAATGTGTCTTCTCCAGTCTTCTGAGCATTTTATATTTCTTTATATAAGATCCAGAACTTGATGAACAGAGAGAAATACATTTACAGGATATACAGTAGTAATACTTACAGAGAAATGCAGAGGTTAGTGTCAAGATGTATCATTAAGATGAGCTCTTTAAGGGAACTCATTATCTTTGGTAAATATTATCACAGTACACCAAAAGTGCAGATTAGAAATGTAGAAAAAAATAACATACTGTAACACTCTTAGGATTCTTTTATTTATGTATGAACACCTTTGTCCACAATCAGTTTGCATGAGAGTGAGAAAATGAGGCCTCTATGCTACCTATCTTTTGTGAGCAATATGTCTTTTGTACTTAAAGCAATGCGCTTCTCTTTCTCACCCAGCCTAAAGACATACTGTACTGTTTGGTTAATTGGCTTCTGGGAAAACTGGCCCTGGTGTGAGTGCATGCTTGTCTCTATTTGTCTGCCCTGTGATGTGCTGTGATATCCTGTTGCGTCCAGGATATACCAACACCCTAATTTGGACAACCGGTTAGAAAATGGATGGATTAATGAAAACAAGTCAATTTTGAAGTGAAATCTAAAAACATCAGCAGAAGGTGTGTTTACTATGGTCAGTAAGAGTATTCCAAAGATGAGTCTCTGAAAAGGCTTGGTCACCTAAGTACAGTGTGAATTCGATGTTGAGGAGCTCAGAGCCTACATTTTACTGAATATTCAAGGAGGTGCCATGTTGCTCACTGATTCTATTTTAATTACAGATACAGATATCTATTAACAGAAAGCTGCCTATCGCGCTGTACCCAGTAGCAAGCAACTCAGAGCCCACAGGGAAGAAGGTGGAACTACACCATAGACAGGATGCTTCTCTACAGCAAGATAAATACACAGTGACAGCTTAGTGATAACATTTAACCTAGCCAGCACATCTTTGGCATGTGTGAGGGTAATGGATCACTGGCCACAGCCCACACAGACACAGCATGCACACTCAATATAGACCACCTTTTTCCAAAGTCACATGCCTTATTCAATGAATCAAACTCAGGGCCCAGAATCTGTTGGGCAGCAGTGCTAACTATGCCATTCTATTTTGATAAAAATATATAATTTTTTATTAAAAAAAACTACAAAACCCCAAGTTTTTATCTGCTTGATTAGTTATCCTGATCTACGGAAAAGGTCACTCCCATGACTTTTTTTTTGTAAATGGACAGCTTGCAAAAAAGGGTAAGTATAATTAATGATGTTCCTTCCATGGACAAACACTTTAAAGAATTACCTTTCTATGCTTGAAGAGGATGTCCCTCATGTCATATCCATCAAGCTGTACCTTTGGGAGCTTTGCCTGCACAAGGCCGGCGATGGTTGGGAGAAGGTCCAGAGTGCTTCCCAGCTCATGTGTCACTCCTACAGAGGGGGAATTCAGCAGTGCTTACAATACACATTCGATGGCCGAGAAATTCTCACAAGGACACTAACACAACACATTCTTTCCCTTAAAAATGAAGAGGAAAAAGAACTTCAGTTAATTGGGAATTAGAGGAGAAAGTAGAAATGTTGCCTTACATGTTTAACACTGTACATCTGTTCCATCACAGAGATTTGTCTTGCCTAACGATTTGAAACAACCGTGAAAAGTGTATCAACTGAGCTGGAAACGTCCATTTTTCTTCCAAATACAAAAGCCACGATTATTGCTGGTTTACAATGTGAAAACTCTGGATCTTTAACTGCCTTATTACATTACCTGCTTGGATCTTCCCAGGCCAGTGTGCAATAGCTGGCTCTCTCATTCCTCCCTCGTAGGTGGTCCCCTTCCCACACTTCAGGAGGCCTGAATTCCCACCACGGGACATTCGCATTAGCTCAGGCCTTGCAAGGAAACAAAGGGTAGAAAATGCTCATTTTCAGAAAACTGCGAACATGAGAGGGTTGTGAGCGTAGGAAGTATGGAACAAGCTACCAAGCCATATTAATGAAGCCTTTGCTTCTTACAACGAAATGTTGGGATAAGATCCTTGAATTAAATACAAACAGACTTGACTGGCCAAATGGCCTCCTCTCACTTGTAACCTTTTAATGTTCTAGGTTTTATACTAGTAACAGTCTATTTAAAACTCCAGATTCTTAAGAACTAGGCTTTAACTGTCCAACTGAGTAAAACAATTATCTCAGTTAGGTAATTAAGGGCTCAGGTAGAAAGAAAAACAGAAACCTTTTGGCCATCCTGAGATGGAGTTTTCATCCCTGCACTTAGCAAATAGGGTTAGTCTGCTCTAAACCTATGTATAGTCATGCGTCTTACTTGTGATTCGAAACTACATGATCAACATTTTGGCATGGTTCAATTAAAATTGCAATAATCTGTGAATTACATCTGTGAAAAACACAACCTATCTGCACTTAATTGGTTAAACTAAAGTGATAAATTAACATTTGAGATGAAAGAAAACCAGGAACCAGCCTAGCCCAAGCAGGCTCTCCATTTCAGATCCTGAAGGTGAGTTTATTTAAGGGCACCAACACCTACCCATTGTCACTGGTAAAGAACACAAAGGTGTTGTTCTGGGCACCATTGACTTCTAGAGCTGTCATGAGTGCTCCTACTGTTTGATCAAACTCCAGCAGAGCGTCTCCAAAGGGCCCTCGCAGGGACTTCCCTGTTGCACCCTCACCGGCAAACTGGGGATAGTGGGTGTGCTGTGAAGAGAAGAGACTTATTTCTCTGAGGCCCGGTGATGTATATTCTCTTCTGTTTTATTCATCTGGATCTCAGATGGACTGGCTCACTATAGGCCATTCAGTACTATATTACACCCTAAGCATTTCTCCTCTGACAACATAAGAAACATGAGAATTACATTCAGAATGAAGAGTGAAACATGAACCAGAGGGCAAAGGTGTAAACTATGTGGACGTATATTAACAACTAAAAACGTCTTTACCCAGAGGGTCATAGGAGTGTGAAAAAAACTACCCAGCCATAAAACAACATCCAAACAACGTCTGGATAATTTCGGTCAATGGTCATATTACTACTACCATGTGGGCTTGAAAGGCCTTCTCTCATTCTAACGTTACATTCTTAAAGACAGAAAAATGTATCTCACTTAATGCACAAATATTTATCAAATGAGATATAAAATGTAGAGAAATTAGATAGAAATTAGTTATCTTGTGATTGACTAGTTATGCTTTTGCTTCGTTTAACTTTATCTTTGTTAAACCCAGACAGCACAGCTACCAGTAGCAGCTATAAGTCACCCAATCCTAAAATAAACATTTAAAAAGGCAAAAGATCTTTTGAAGTAGGTCTCTTGAAATAGTGAACACTTACATGAGAAGCATAATAAAGGAAGAATGGCTGCTCTCTTTTGAGTGAAGTCGAGATGAATTCCGTGGCAAATTTATTGTAAAATGCCACAAGATCGGGGAAGTGGACAGGCTGCTGCTTGATTGTGTCATTTAAAAACAGAGGCAGGTACACCACACCCTGGTCACACTTCCCATAACACTTGATGTCCGGAGGGAAGCAAGTCAGGTTCTGGCAAGGACCCTGTAAAAAAAAAGAAGAGAAAATCCATAGATCTTAAATTTTACTGGTACCTTAAAAAACACTTTGAGAATTTCTTAACCCTAACAAATAAGCCGTTAGTGCATCATCCACACCACTAAACACTGATTTCTTAGTCGGCTCCAATAGTCCTCAAGAGTGCACCAAGAATGCCTGCTACATTTCAAATGTGTACAGTACCAGTTTAAAGGCATTATCTCATTCTAAGACTTAAATTAAGTGCATTACTTGTATAACCCGAAACCTACACCGCTAACAAATCCCATACATTTTATTGACGACAATTGTTTTGTATTGACACAAAAAACTGGCACAATAGCAATTCTTACTAGTGCATGTCAGTGCCTAGGTAAAAAATACATATATTTCTGGGTTTGTCCAGCTACCTGGTCATGGGAGTAAGGCACACCCAAGAAATGGTCAAAGCCCTGGTGGATAGGCAGGAAGGTTCTATTGGGCCCTAAGCCCAGGTGCCACTTTCCAACTATGGCTGTAGTATATCCCAGAGGCTTCAGAACCTCTGCAATGGTGGTCTCATTCAGAGGAAGCCCTCCTTTTGACCCAGGATAAAAGACACCCGGATAGATTCCAGATCGCGTCTGGTACCGACCCGTCAAGAGGGATGCCCTGTGGGTAAGAGACAGTTCCTGGAATGAGTTAACAAAACATACCATCAATGCAAAATTCACCATGGGAACAGCAGTGTTGGATGCTTGCGTGGGGACAACTACAGGACTATTCTGTATTATTTTAGTTGATTCAGAGTTATTGCTCCAGATCTTTAATTCCAGTTCTCAGTTATAGCTTTCTAGTTACATCCAAGAGGCGAAGGAAACAATATCTGAATTGAAATTTCCAAACAGGTGTAAAATGAGTCAACCTTTTAGAGGAAGAAAACTGGTCATGCTCTCTACAATTAGAAAACGTGCCGCTCATACAAATGTGTAACTGTCAGCGAAAAGTTAGGATTCCTTTTCTTATCCTTTGATGCCCCACAGTGGCTACGATTCCGCATTGCACCCGTGTCATGAATACTGAGATAATACTGAATACAGCTCATGTTCGATCATTAAAATTACATTTTGTATGTTAACAAGCCATTTGATACCACCTGTTTCTTGATATTATATTACAGTATATAAGTTTGTATATTTCAATCATGATTTAAAATGCCTACACTGATGAAAACATCATCACTGCAAAACAATAAAAACTCACACTGAGCACCACTACCTAATAATTTGTAATCATTTAAACACGTGGCGTCATCAACATAACAACAGAAAGTATTAAAAAATAATAATACCTCGAAGGGCTACAGACTGGACTGGTGCTATAGAAGTCAGTGAATCGCAGACCGTGCGCTGCTAATTTATCCAGGTTCGGCGTCTTTGAACTTGGATGTCCATAGCAGCCTAAGTCACCAAAACCCAAATCATCAGCGAATAAAAGAATGATGTTTGGAAGAGAGGAGTTCGAACAGTTTTTAGGCAAAAGTCCCACGAATGCAAGTATAAAAAGTAAAGAACAATAATGCATTTTTGTCAAGACTAACTAAAGCTGCTGTAGTTTACAAAAACACGAGCAAGCGAATTGCGTTTTCTGAAGAATAATCTTTGTATCACCAACCTGCCAGGTGCATGCAGAAAGAAAGAAAAAACTAGACCTAAAGAATTTATTTTACTTTTCCTTGAAAACTGTGATTTGAAAATGTAGCCTTATTTTTATTCTTTCATCGAATCAGCCATACATTAAAATTTGACTCCTTGCTGACGTCGGAAAAAAATCTGATACATTTTTTTATATTAATGGTTTAAATTATTTATTTTACTTTTTCGTTTTTAAAAATAAATTATTATATTAAAGTACTGAACAAAAACATCAGAAAAAAATGGCAGTGAAATCATATGACTAATTGGATGTCAACAGATCCTCTGTCACATGATCTTACATAAACGCTCTGAATGAATCCCGGGAAATGTAGTTGTGTTTTGTACGCCATGTGATTTAAGGACAACTTGCGCTTATTTTAACGTCTTAGTTACATTCGTCCCATATGAAAAAAAGAAAAAATTAGAGTTTGAGGGCGATTCCTGGTGGCGCAGGACATAAATACAGCACCTTGTATCGGGATACTAATAGTACTGTTAGCACAGTACCACTCAATACAGTAAACGATTCATAAACTGTGTACTGTAGCATGTGGCTGGAATGACAACACGTTGTTTAAAATATTTCCCAGCAATGTTTCCTGATAAATTCTTACTGGCATTTCCTTATAAAGAAATGTGTGTTGAGCATTAAACAACAGCCATGTACAGTTGCAAGAAATAGTTTGTGAAACCTTTGGAATTACCTGGATTTCTGCATTAATTACTCATAAAAATGTGGTCTGATCTTCAATTATGTCACAATAATAGACAAACACAACCTGCTTAAACTAATAACACATAAACAATTGTACTTCTTCTTGTCAGTACTGAACACATCTAAACATTCACAGTCTAGGATGGAAAAAGTACAGTATGTGAACCTCTAGGCTAAGTGGAATCAGGTGTTTCAAACAATGAGATGATAATAATATATATAATAATAAACTTTATTTTATATAGGGCCTTTAAAGGTGGCTTCTCAAAGCACTTTACAGGATGACAGTAACAATAAATAAGAAGAGTATAACAATAAATAAGGAGAATACACAAGATAAGACACAATTACAATATATAGAGGAGACCGTGGATGGTGGTACTAAGAAGA